CTCCACCTCTCAGTGGTGAGGCCCGGATTCTGCTTGCAAAGGCGGTTCAACGCAACGTTCGCCCCCACTGGTTTCCCAGGGATAAAGGCCGTTACGCGGACCAGTTTTGGGAGCGCATCCTTCTCCATTACAGAGAGGGAGGCCCCTTCCCAGGGCGCTAATTTGGGCACCGCGCCCTTCAGCCAGTCTTTCGACCGGCCGTCGGTACACGTCACCCAAAGCAAGCCCTGGTCGTATCGGTGGCCCTCAAAACCTGGGGGATGCCCTTCGACATCACCCCCGAAGATGAGTTCTTCCAACTTCTCCTGTACGAGGTTGACCTGTGCCTCAGTCAGGGACGACTCAGGGTAGCCGCTCGGTATGATTGCTACCTTGCCGCCACCCCTCGGCCCCATCCCGAACGAGGTGGCTCCAAGGCCAGCCTTCACCGTTTGTTTTTTCCGGGTCGCAGCATCTTCCGGCGGAGTGGCTCCATCAGATCTGGGTCTTTTGGACCCATTTCCCCGTTCCTCTCCACCTCTGGCTGTCACCGGTTTGGTGGGAGAGCGCTGTTCCCGCAAGTCCTCTGTTGCCATTCTGGCCTTGCGGGCCCCGCGCTTCTCCGCACCTGTGCGACCTTTTCGTTTTTTTAAGTCTGTGGGTCCGCCTTTGGCGACTTCCTCCGTAAGAGGAGTCACCTTCAGCGTCTCCACTTCCATTACCGAAGTTTTCTGTGCCCCCGTCGGAGCATCAGAGACTGTGACGGCCTGGATGATCTGTAAAGCCTCAGACGTTCCCTCTGTAAGGGCACTGTCCTTGGCGTTGGTGAAATTTTTAATGTTAGTGGTAGGGTTCATATAGTTTCCACGAGTATCCTCGGAAGTAAACGTCGGCCCTAGCAGAGCCGGGATGCTGGGGTAAGGCCTAAGTACGGTGGGGTGCGGCCTGGTGCCCCAACGGTCTCGTTTGCAACACTGTGACCCCAGTGCCATTCAGCCTTCGGCACGAATCTCTTCCACCTTGGCTTGGGGAGTTGGTCTGCGGCGCGGCCTTCGGTTCCTTCCAGGTTTTTAGGCCCTTCAGTTCCCTTATAGCTCACACTAACCGTCAATTCGGCAGTGCAGGCGAGGGCCAGTCCCATACCTCTATGTTTCCATCCCTTAACCTGCCCCACTTCTCCGTCGGCCGTTCCTCTATCCGCCACCTGTGGACGCACCCGATTGGCGCTCAACCTTGTCCCTCTCGTCTCGTTTATAGAGCACGTTGGGGGACGTTCGAGAATTTGGTTATTATATTCAAATCATTAAATGATTAACAATCGATTCCAGTTGTTAAAGAGTAATTCACAAATATTAGGTTATTTAGGTAATTAATTTTGACTGAACTAAAATTGTTAATTGGGTTGTTATATTCAAATCATTAAATGATTAACAATCTATTCCAATTGTTGAAGAGTAATTCGCAAATATTTGGTTATTTAGGTAATTAATTTTAACTGAACTAAAATTTTTAATTTGGTTGTTATATTCAAATCATTAAATGATTAACAATCGATTCCAATTGTTGAAGAGTAATTCGCAAATATTAGGTTATTTAGGTAATTAATTTTAACTGAATTTAAATTTTTAATTTGGTTATAATATTCAAATCATTAAATTATTAACAATCGATTCCAATTGTTGAAGAGTAATTCGCAAATATTAGGTTATTTAGGTAATTCATTTTGACTGAACTAAAATTTTTAATTTGGTTATAATATTCAAATCATTAAATTATTAACAATCGATTCCAATTGTTAAAGAGTAATACACAAATATTAGGTTATTAGCGCTCTCGAAATAAAACTCTTGAAAAAGTGAATTTGTATCCGTTGCTATGGAGTTATTTTTGTAATAAAATAAGTGAAAAATGTAAAAATCTCATCAGAAAGATCAACCGCGATTTATATAATGTATCTAAGGATACTTTTGCAAAATGGCGTGCGTTTAAAGGGGAAAAAAGCAATTGAAGTTTTTTTAAGGGGTTTGGGGTGAGTTGTTAGCTGTAATATAACACTAGCGCCCTCCCGGCCGCTACGCGGCCGGAACGTTGATGGAATTGCCGTTTTCAAATGCATTTGCGAATGTTTCATGAGAATGGGAATTAATGTTTTGAAAGTTATGCCAGAGATTATAGGGGAGATTGC